ATGCAAGTGTCTCTCGCCCTAACATATCTCTCCTCTCAGGCTAAAAATTATTAGGTTTAGATTCTATATTAGTTGTGCGCTTATGATTATAACTTTTTTTTTTTTGTCTTTGTATTTTAAAATAGAAAGTTATTATAGATAACTATTTTTAGTTTATCTTTTAAAATGTAGTTTTTTAAATATCAAACTAAGCTATTTAGAATATTTAAAATTATATATTGCATAATTCTCTTTCTTTCTTTTTTCCCCTCTTTAGTTGTATTAATTATCTCTAATTTAATTTATAATTTAAAGCCTAGATTACGTTCAGATTTTTTTTTATAATAACAAATTATCTAATCAGATTTTGTCTAAACTCAAATCTTTCGACATTTAATGTGTCAAGTTTTGCTTTCATTATTAAAAATCTTATCGTCCTCTTCTATTGTCTCTCCCTTGTTATATTATTTACTTTTGTTTTTACTCATTTGGCGGCGATTATTGATAATTGTTCAATAAGGTTTTGTATTGGTTGTGTTCTCTCCTTCTCAACTAAAGTGGGTGATAGAAAATATGGATACAATTTTCTAATGTATGTACCAATTTTGATAATTGTTGATAATTATCAATTTTGAGTACCTTTCGAATGGGTTCTTGAACAATAACAAATTGAATTTGTTGTATCAGATAAGGTTCAACGATTATCAATTTTGAGTACCTTTCAATCCATAAGGTACCTAAAATTATTGATAATTGTTCAACAATAAAATATTAATTATATATCAATGTATGTTAACTGTGTTTCGTTCTACGTGTTTATAATTATATAAATTATAAATGTAGATTATTTCAAGTATATTATTGTTTATAAATTATATGTTTATACATGAAAATTTATTATTTTGTATCCTTCTATATGTTTACAAGTATATAAATTATAAATGTAGATTATTTACAAGTATATTATTGAAATTACATATTAATTCATGTTATATACACGAAATTTTATTTTTGTTACTTCTACATGTTTATAAGTATAAACATTAGATATCTAAATTATTTTTAAGTATATTATCCATAAGTTATATAGGTTAAAAAACACATTTAGTCTTTGAACTTTCATCAAAGTAACGATTTAATCCTTGAACTCTCAAAAGTAAGACTTAATCCCTGAACTCTCAAATTGATAACAATTTAATCCTTATCCATAAGTTTCTGTTACAATTTACCAACTAGGATCTATAATGCCACATATGCTGACTTAAAAACTAAAACAAACGTGCCTAAAAAAAAATTCTGCCCCTCCACCATCCACCACAATTTGCCTTCAGTCTGCGCCTTTTCCGCCCCTCAAAAATTTCCCCAGAAGCCGCTGTTTCTCTCACCGTCTCCGCCGTCAAATTTCCTCGCCGGAAATTTACAAACCTCGATTTTCGACGGCAATTTCAACATCTTTATCAAATCCAAAATTAGTTTCCTAGCCGCAGGCTTCATCCTCGTCCACTCTCAAGATTCTATACAGAACTATCAGAATCTCAAAATGGGTATTTTCGAGGAGTTCGGTTTGAGCAGTGAGCGTCCTGGGACCAAAAAAATAATAGAAACACTCTCTGCTGGCGAGGTGGGTCGCCGACGATGGCGGAGAATCAGAACAACAAGCTCTTAATCTTAATCAGATCAACAACCATGGATTTTTTCTTATGATTAGTTCGAAAAGAAAAAGAAAAGTCAGAAAACTGACAGAAGAAACGAAGAAAATGGAAAACTTTAAATAGGTGGTTAATTAACAGCAGCAATTATCAAACATAATCGAAATTGGAAACACCTATTTTTTTCTTGGTAATTATTGTATAAATAATAAAGATCTAGTTTTATTGTTCTTTTCCCTCTGTTCTTTTTGGCTTCCGGCTTCGGCTGAGGAGAGTGAAGCACGAACAATCTGGGAGGTACCTTCCTTGCTTTTGTTATTTATTTATTTATTTTTAAATCTGTAGACTTGGCCTCATAAATAGATCCAAGTTGGCATCCCATCGAAACAGAAATTTAACAGTAAGGATAAAATTGTTATCAATTTGAAAGTTCAGTGGCTAAATCGTTTTTTCGAAAGTACAGGACTAAATCGTTACTTTGATGAAAGTACAAGGATCAAAGGTGTTTTTTAACAAATTATATAATAATACATGTATGTTGATGTAAGTACAAACATTATATAGGTAAAACATATATTGTTTATCAATGTATATAACAATATACATTAGATTGTTCGAAGCCTGACTTTTTCTTTCATTTTTATTGTTATTTTAAATTTATTTATTTAGAATCTGATTTGATTTTAAGATTAATATGATTTTTCAATTAAACTTATTTGATACATTTTTTAGATTTGATTATACTTCCTTATTTGAAAAGTCATTTCATTCCTTTTTTTTTTTAAATAGAATTAGCTTTAGAGTTTATTTTGATTACTATACTTTTAACTTTGGTCTATTGGTCTATTTTAATTCTCGTACTTTTCAAGGATAACTATTTCGGTATCTTCATTTTCTTTTTATCTCTCTTTTTTTATAACAATTTCAACAACACTACAGTGAATAAATTTTCTTGAAATATAGCCCTAACTTTGTAGTTAAAGAGTTTTTACTTTATATCAAATTTGCTTTAAAATGTTGCCAATAAAGAACAGTGGATATTGCACCCACTTTGCTTTCATGCTCTCCTGTGTTCAAAACTTGAAAACTATAATATTTTTTTGTGAGTTTAAAAAACTATAATCATTATATTTTATATATTATATATATTATTGCATATCATTGTATTTATTTCACATGATATATCATTGTATTTTATATATTATTATTTATTATTGATATAATTTATTAAAAATAATATATATAATAAATAATAATGTATAAAATATAATGATATATAGTTTTCAATAATAATAATTTATATATTATATATATTGTTTTAATAAACTAATAATATATAAACACAATGATATATATAATAAATATATGATATATAAAAATATATAAAATATAATTATTATAGTTTTTAATAATAAGAAGAAGGTAAAAAGTTGATTAATATAATAATAAAGTGTAACCCACGTCTCAAACACAAGAGTGAAGAAATAAAGTAGGCACCGCAGCCACTGCGCTACGCCAAAGACCATCGTTGAAAATATTATGCTATTATTTAATATATAATATCATTATTTTTTTTTTCAAAAAATCAACGCCGTTATATGTATTCTCAGGAGGATATCGTCGCAAATGCCAAGTCTTATTTATTAATTCAAAATTTTAGTTTTCATGATTTTCAAGATTTATTTTTTAGAATTTCCATCTACGTTTTTATTTGTTATGACAATTTCAAAAAATTTAAGCCTTGGCACTTCCACTCAATATTGACATTTCAAAACTCGTTAGGAAGCAAAAATTATCGGAGAGGATGCGAGGACTAATTCTGGTTTGCATTTCAGAAATAACATGATTAGTAGATGCCTCAGAGAAAATTATTAATGAAAATCTGTTGAATTAGGAGAGGATGAAAAAGAACTGAGATGTTCATTTTTCTTTTTATTGCATATTTTAAACCCAAAAAATTGAAATTTTAGAGATACACTTTTTTAAATTTGGGAAAAGAAAATTAATAGTTCAAAAATCTATGAGACAAACTAAAAGTCTTGTAATTTAACTAAAAATGAAAAGGGTTTTCAATTTAAAAAATAGACATATACATTCACATTACGTAGGAAAAAAAATTAGAAAACACAACTTATTCACATCACTGCAGTTGTTGATGACTTTATTAGAAAATTGAAAAGAATAAATCCATGGAAAAATTAGTAGAAGTTGCAATATAATCACATCTATTAAATTATTATATTTTGTCTCGTTAAATTTACCAAATGATCCATAATCTATAAGATAATTCTCAATTTGGTCCTTAACCTTCTAATTTTTCAATTATATATTTGATGAAATAAAAAAATTATTAAAACTTGTTAATAAAAAATTGATACATTATTAAATTATTACTTTGTTAACATATTTTGATATGTGAACACATCATTTGGATGATATTGGACACATAAATCTTAACCTGCCTATCATCCAAATTTTAACCTGTTTTTTCAAGTAACATGTCAAAATATGTTAATTTTGAATTTTAGTATTTTAAAAGATTAAGGGTCAAATTAAGAATTTTGAAAGAGTCATATGAATAATCGCCTAAAGTATTTTGGACCATTTGGCACAGTCAACCTTTCTTTTTCTTTTTCTTTTTTTTTGTCGATATTAAAAATGGTCTTCCAATTTTAATTTTAGTAGTTTTCTTTTCTTTTCTTTTCTTTTTGGGTGGTTAAATTTTAAAATTTTTGTATTAAAAGAAGCTGAATTTTAATTTTGAAGAAATAAAAGACGGAATGGTACGTAAAGCTTCTCTTCTAAAACATATGATATTTTGATTTTAAAAAAATGAAGAATAAAATAGGAAACATAGGTTAGAAAATTAAATTGTAAAAACTGCAATACTTGTCCAAGTTTAAGGCAAATATCAAATGTGATAAAATTGAAAGTTCTCAGATGAAAATCTATATAACTTGAAAGTTTAGTGGTCAAAAATGAAAATTTCCATTAAATTTATCTATGATTCCTCTTTCCAACACAAAGAAATGTAGTGAGAAAGATATGATTTGATTATAAGGCACATTAGGCAGAAAAAGAGAAGGTGCATCAAGATATTGAAGGGTGAATAAATACAAGAATGTCTTCGTTACTAGACTGAAAATAGCTGTGAAAATGCATTTAATTCAGTGGATGAGTAACATAGGCAGTATTATTAACTTATTAGATGAAATTAAAGGTTCGGATAAAATTTGAATTTTTCCTAATACATATCATAACAGTAATATAAATTATAACACATTAAAAGTTATTAAAAAATTTATTATAATATAAAACATTCATTCCACATCCTATTTTAAATATTTCTGGATATATTGCCTAACAAAAAAATTTTAATTCTAATAAAAATACGATTTTTATTTACTTCCAAGCACGTTATTAAAATGTGTAATTACAAATCATTGTTTTCACCTGCCACTGGACTGCATTTATTCCATGACACACGAGGAACCATCTGTTCAATTTGATGCAGGGTAGTATGATGGAATCTTTATTTCCTCCTTGCTTGCAATGAAATAGCATAATGTAAAGAGAAACTGAAATGCTTTAAAATTCATACATAGCACCAGTATCAGCTAGTGAACATACCAGAACCATGCCACAAGTAAACGAGTATAAAAAAGAATACCGTAATCATTAGTATGACAAATCAACGGTATCATCAGCTCTCTCCCTTCAAGGACACATCACCAAAACAATTGGGCAACTACTCTCCATGCAATAAGAAAAGTAGATTAAGAATCTTGAGGTGTCTCAAATCTCGTTGGGGTGTCAATACCCATCATACAGCAAAGGCCTGATATTAGGATTATAAGCAAAACGATCCCCTGCATAGATGGAAACCGGAGATAAATTTAAGCCAGAATAACAACCCATTTAAACAGTCAGACTCGTGAAGTGAATAGATATAGTGCAGTTTCCTCAAAGTTCAAGGCAGGAAATTCATAGCCAAAAGAGGCATATATATGATCAAAGTTTTGTGAAAAGGAATTGGAGCTTTATCTAAATTAATAGCCAAATGGATAAAATTCAGTTTCCTGAAAGTTCAAGGCAGGAATGCTGCATCTAAAATTTGTAACATTCAGCAGCATCAGAAAGAAGCTAAACCAAAATGAAGCCAAATATAATCGCATGCCACTGCTTCTGTTGACAAGCAATTATCTGAGAAATAAGGGGTATTATTTCTTTTTTTTCTTTTTTTTTTTTTTTTTTGATAAGAAACATAAGAGAATATATTCATCAAAAGAAAGGAAATACACACTAATGGCGGAGGGTAGAGAACCCTCCCCAAAAAGCTATACAATCGCGGCTTTCCAATCATGTATAATCAGATGAAAACCAGTTACAAAAAACCTTCTTTTATAAGTGGTGTGTTGAGGCAGGGGTGATGAGATCAATGAAACAAGATTGGTCCAGAAAATAATAAACTAAATAACATGCAAATCTATTCCTAAATCCTGATAACGAAGCTACAAAAAGAAATGCCTTGCTTTAGTCTCACTACCTCCATAAACAAAGAATCATTATCCGTGGACAAACTAATTGGTCATGAGGTCTTCCTTATGTTTATTGGATGTAAAGTGCCTATCTCCTTTTGTAATTCTGAAAAAGATATATATATTAAACATGAATTAAATTCTTATCTAAGAAACTAAAATAATCAAAGACTGTTTCGAAGTAAAACCCATTGACAGCTATACGCTTCCTCAACTGTGCAAGAGATTTTATCCCCACATTGCTGTGTTTTGCGATTAAAACATGGAAGATGGAAACCCACTTGTCCATGGATTGCCCATGCTTGCAGAAATTACCTTATGTCAAAGGGAGCAACATTTGAGATTGGTCCATAGATTGCCCATTCATGGATTCCCATGCTTGCAGCAATTTCTCTTCCCCCGAGAAATGTCAAATCCATATTTCATAACTGGAGAAATGTTCTTTTCCTTTTGTTCCCCAAGCCAATACCTCCACTGAATTGGCAAATGACTTTCTAACCGCTTAAATGGTGTTGTTACCCAAAAAAGAAAAATGATCGGCCAGTGTTGGCGCACCCGGGCGCTCACCTCAAGCGAGAGGCGAGGCGATTTCGCCCAAGTGCACCTTGCAAGGTGCCCAGGCGAGCACTTTCAATTGGGCGCTCGCCTCGGTGCGCCTCTCGCCTGAGGCCAGGCGACCTGGCCTATATATATATATATATATATTTTAATTTTTAATGTGTTTTTTCTTAAAAGAACCTTTCTCCCTCGCAAAATACCTCAGTCCACAGACCTTAACCATTCTCTCTGCCTCTCGACATTCACCTTCACCACCCTCAATCTCCGACCATCGTCCGCTCCCATCTCTGACCATCACTGTCGCCGCTCCCGTCTCTAACTAAACTTATTGAATTTGGTTGTTTTATGTATCTTGTTGACATTTACTATGACACTATTTTGGTATTTATTTTTTAAACTATGTTTATTATATAAATGTATGCACTATATATATAATTTTTATTTATTTATTAAGGTACGCCTCGCTTCACTCGGGAGTCGCCTTTGTATCGCCCCTCGCCTCAAGGTGATCAAAGGGCTTGTCGCCTTGAGGTGCGCCTGAAAACACTGTGATTAGTCTAAGGCAAAAGACCAATAGATTACAAGAAAGCTCTCTAATTGGTACATATATGTCATGGATAACAGTTGGTAAAATCTTGAACTCCTGGCCCAACCTCGAAAGCCCATGGAAAATGAGATGCTCTCACACCACCCAAATCTAGAAGATCTAGTAGAGCTTCTCAGCCACACCAAGACAGCCACTCGAGCGCAATTCCTCAGCCATCTCGAGAAACAAACCAAGTAATATTCTTTAACATGCTTGAATTCAGGAGGATGTGCAAAGTTCCCAGACCTACATGGACTTGTCCCTAGAACATATAATGCTCCTCAACTACAGAACTCATCCCCTCAGCTTGCTCCGGCCTAACTCTCCCAACACCAACTTTTCATTGAAATTGAATACAGCATCCATTAGAGGACTTCCCAAAGGACCATCAAATTATATTAAAGTCCGCCATGAACAAACATCCTGAGCAGCAGTCACTAACAGCTCCAATTTCCCACCAAAAAGCAGCTCTGCCATGCTGAGAGTTAGACCCATAAACCCTTATGATCCAATAAGAAAAACTGTCAGTAAGTTGGAATATGGTGGAAAGAGGTACTTTATCTCTGTATCACCAATGCCAGATGCAGAATAGCGGACGAGTAAGTCAACCATCCGTCTGTACCTCATTTTCACTGCCTGGTTCAAGAACTGAATCAGTCTCAGATATCATTTTCAAAGATTTCATTGGAATTCCATCTGTGATCAAGCTTTTTTTTTTACCAGAATGTCAAGAAGTGTTTTAACCAACGCACAGAAGTCCCTCTCTGTCAAGAATGTGAGTCAAAATTTGAACCGTCTTATTAAAATATCTGGATTATCTAGCTCAGATGAGGACCTCTCCATCTAGAATAGCCATCCAAATTCATTCAAAAACTGCAAATTTTCATCATTTAGCCTTGGCTGCGAAGGAACATATAAGATGCCTCAACTCCTTGCAGATGGCACCATCACCTATTATGATCTCAGTAAGTTGGAATTTAATGAAAAGAAAAAACACCAACTAAGGAACTCCACAGTCAAAAAAGAGGCCGCATCCCATAAGAAGAGAATATCCCTTGAGGTTCCACACGCATCCTAGGCAAGCCACCCCATGTTATGGGAGCTCCAAACAGATTTAATAGAACTCTATCACCACTCCAACATTTTGTTTCTTGGAAGGCACCGCAACTGCACACATTCACAAGACACCTCTTACTAGTGACACCTGACCCTCTAAAATTCCAAGAAAGAATTTCATAAAATGCAGGAGCCCTCCAAGTCTTTCGAAACACTTTGTTACTCATAGCTGTTTTTTTTTTGTTTTTTTTTTTTGAATGAAGAAATCAACTTTCATTGAGATACAATGAAATAATACACAAGGACAGAAGCTCTCGTTAACCCTTCCTCCTTGTCTTGTGTGTTTTGGCTTTGAACCTTTTTATAGAAGCACGAAAATCTCCATGTTTTTTCTTTAGTAACAAGCCAGAACTTTAAGAGCATAAAAAATGGATAAGAGCCAATTCCACATGGGATCCAGGAAACCAATGTTCCACCTCATCAAGATACTTTAAACCATGAACCGAGAGGACATGGGATTTGGAGGCTTCATTATCTTGACCTGGCTCCTCTGTTCTCACATATTCAAGCAAAGTAGCTCAATCAAATTCCTCTAAAGCAGGAGAACTTGGAAGAGGAAGAGAAAACACTTTTATCTCCTAATAGGTAAAGGGAACGTCCCCCCCTTTGACAAGTCTGGGAGATTTCCTCCTTGATTTCTTTTTCTCTTTTGGTTTAGACTTTAGAGGCAGAACGAGATTTTGAAGGCATGTGGCCATCTGATAGAATATTATAAGAAATGATTGGTTTAGGCTTTTTGGCTTTGGGCTTTTAGCCTTACTGTCAGAAATAGGAATTTGAAGGACCAGGCTTTCTCTACGCAAGGCTCGCAAGACTCAAGGTCAGAAGCTAAAACAATTTGTTTTCCTTTGTCCTTATCATGCTCATAACCATTTAGTTTTAGCAGAGGATTGAATGAATCCTTCGTGTGACTCTCCAATGTGCAGAAATTTACTTCACTTCACTTGTAAAGTATAAGTTATGAATCTTTACCCAACCTCCATAAGAGGGAATAATAGAAACTTTTCCATGATTAATATGGTTCCATTTCATGCCACTTTGTAAGGCAGAAAAGTATTGGATTTAGCATAAACTTATCACCAATTAATTCCTAAAAATTTGAACAAATCTTGAGCCACTCGTCATGAAAGTTCTGGCTATTAACAAGAAGAGTAGAATCCCATCTAATATTGAAATAAATAAATCTTGTTGCTCTCTAATTCCATAGAGAGGGGACGGCCATTCAACTTATTTGGAGGTTCTTCAAGAGGTTTTTGGTTGACCACTCCAGCAAAAGAACAATTGGTGTCAATCAACTTCAAAGTATATTCTTGCTTGAGCACTTGAGGATGGAGAAAGAGGATAAAGTTGTCCATCCTTCCTTAGGGACTATAAATGGGAGACTCCTCTTTGTTTGTAACTTTCTACCCCTATAGTGATTTCCCTTACGGTTGACTTTCAAAGCATTTGTGGACTGATGAGCTTAAGGCAAGGTCAAAGAGAGTGTCAAGAAGCCCCGTGAGTTTAGACTCATTAAGGGCAATGCTATAAAGTGTCACTCCTCCCTTTTTCTAGGCAGGATTCGTTCGTTTTCCCGGTCAAATTCAAGCATAAAGATCTTGTCTGAACTGCACATCTAACCACATCTGCAGATGCAACCATTGTTGTCGAGGTTGCTAGTGAACTCTATTAAGGGACATGAGTTGAGGACGGGGGGAGGGGGGGATGGTGTTTGTGGAGGGAGGAACAAGAGATAATATTTGGGTCTTTCTACCTTTTTCTACTCTTGTTTTTTCCTCTCTTAACTTACCATGCATTTATTAATTACCTGGAAGCCCTACTTTTGTACATTTATTAATTACCTGGAAGCCCTACTTTTGTAAAGGCATCTTATAAATCCATATCCTCCAAGAAGATTTCTCTCCTTTCTAGACTTCAATAAAAGTACAAGGATTTTGCTCCGACCCCCAAAAATTGCCCGTGCTATTGTAGTCTTCATTAAAGAGATTACTTATCCGGGTGATAAATTTTCCTGTCATTTTAGCTCAATTCAACTCAAACAATTAAATTTTCATTGAAGAGATGAAAAGAAACAAAAGTTCAAAATACAAATCCGAAAAGAGGGACCAAAAAGAAAATAACAATAAGAAAATTGACAAGGGAGAAATTACTTTTAGCTCTATTTTTTTGGACATTACAAATCTTACCATATCATTCTCTCCTATTTATAAATTTCAATATCAACACAACACCATTATCACTTGCTATCTAGTACTATCATAATACATATTATAAATTCAGAGTAAATTATCCACATGGTTTCAACTTGCAACAACTAACCAGGCTTCCCAGAGCAATTTTTTAATAACTTCAGTTTTTATGGTAGGTTTTGAATCTGGCTAAATTATAACGAAATGTTATCTGTCTAGATTATCACAATAAAATGAGTACTTCGTGCTAAAATAAGTCAATTGTGTCTACTTTCATATAAGGTGAGGCCAAAATAGACAAATCGCAAAGCAAGAACATCACATAATAACTGTTAGTGACTCACAACTAAGAGACCCTCGAGAAGAGATGATTTAATTTGGCAGACTTCATCACAGAAATTTGCTGATTCAACTGATCCATCTCCAGAGGAACCTTCAGCAATGAATCTTTCTAGCTTCATATAAGAAGGGCGAATAGACCTAAAGGGATCAGATACATAAAGAATTTCGTACTTTGCCCCAACATGCTCTGCAGAAGTCATTATCTCCAACAAAGTTTTGCCTACAATAATTTCAAAACTCAGAACAAGAATTTTATAACATTATAGCATAACATCAATCATGTTGTTTATTCTAATAACCATCTGAAGATAAGAGTAAAATGGGTCCACCTACTTTCAGAAGTCCATGAATTGACTTCTTTAGGAGAATAAGGACCTCCATGACAGAAAACCACCAAATCTGTTTCTCCCTTCCGCTTCTTTTCCATTCTTGAAGCCATATAATCCTATTTATTTGATATAGAAAAACTACATAAAAATATTATAAATCTTCTAAGGAAACCAATGACTTTAATCATGTGAAGACATTTACATTAATCGAGTGCAGTCTTTGGAACGATTCATCCTCAAAAGAACACAACTCCAAGAAAGCACTATTGTTGATTCCAAGGTCATGCCCACATGATTTTTTAAACTCTGAGACCAATAAATTATCGATTGTACCCATTTCCGGTGTAGCCACATATGGGAATGACATTGAAAAGTTAGACCTTGAAAAAGAGACCTGCGAAAATGATCTTAGATTTAGAGTTAAAACAAAGACGTGCAATTTTAGAATTTACAGAACAAATTGCTTTTGCACACCTTAAGCAAGTCCAAAAGATTTGGATCCACGTGCTTGCTCAACATAACATCTGACTCCAACTATGAAAAGTAAAAGACTCGTCAAAACCAACATAAAACTGCATCAAACTATTATCCAGAATGGTACAAAAACTATTGGCACTTGGCACGTTAACATAAGAAAAAAAGACTTTTTAAACTAGCATCATAAGCCGAGTACAAACAAATAAATAGTTCTAAAAAAATATACAGAACAACGTTAATTGCATAAATAGATAATTACAAAAGTCACTAGTGTATTGTGCATCCCCCTCACCATTGTACTGTGCCATTTGGAATGACTCCTATCCTAAGAAGATCAAGTTCTTCCGATGGGAAACAAGCCATCTCGCACTAAACACTCATGATAAGCTACAAAGGAGAATGCCTTACATGTGTCTTTCTCTTTATTGGTGCCCTCTCTGCAAGCAGCACAGTGAATCTATTGGCCATATTTTCGTCTCCCGTGAGTTCTCGACCAAAATATGGACTAGAATATTGAACATCTTTGGTTTGTCAGTCGCTCTCCCCACTGATATGCCCTTATTGCTAGCGTCTACCCTCATTGGCCATCGTCTCAATAATGAGAAAAGATGCATCTGGCTACACTTCATTTGGGCTCTTCTCTGGACCTTATGGATAGAAAGAAACTAGCAGATTTTTCAAGCTAGGGCACGCTCTCATCACCTCCTTTTTTAATTCATAGTTTTGCTGTTTGTTACTTGATGTAAATGCTCTCCTATCTTTCATCATTATAGTTTTGCTTCATTATTATCCAATTAGAGGGCTTTTTTGTAACCCATCTATGGGTTCTCCGCTTTCTTGTAATCTTCCTCTCATATTTCACATATCAATGAA